TTCACCAAAATCCACTTTTCTGAAATCTAGTATGCAAATATTTTCTCTATCTTTGATAGCACAAGCTCAAGGATAACAAGAACCATATCTCTCATTTCTGGTCACCTTCACTTCTTCAAGTAATTCCTTCCTGTTGGTAAGGTTTATGTGTGGTATAGCAGACTCCCTTTGTTCCTTCTTTGAGCTTCTAACAAATGACGATGCCAAGAGAGGATAACATTTTGGGAATCTCTGACTCTTGGCTGAGTGAAATCTCCCATTGTCGTTATTTTCTTTTTTAAAAGTTTGTTATCAGACCCAATAAGATTCATCCAAATCTTTCATCTGTCTACATAGTTTTACAATATTTCTCTCCCTGGGGTAAATAGTGCTTGAGAAAGCAAACTGCCCTATTATCAAAATCATTGTCAGTCCTGATAGCACATAACGTACCTCTAAAATATCAATTTGCTGCAGTTCCTAAAACCAGTGCTGACTGAGCTCCAACAATCAGAAGGTGGTGGCAAAGAGATACACGCCTCCAAAAACCCCCTCTGCTGCCATTCCATGGACAGCTGCTTTTTTACAGCCCTAGCTCAAGTTTCACTCACTGCCCTGTTTCTGGTAAATGGGAAATGTTTAGAGATGTCATAAAACCTCAATCATTTCTGAGGAAGGACACCTTTTGGAGAAAAAGTGAGACCTTCGCGTTTTCCAATTGACAATTCTAATCTCCTTAGTGTGTCAACATGCTGCCAGAAAGGGATGCATGTGGGAATGGGCTAATCACTGATTGGACTAACCATGCTGTGGCATCAGTGTCTATTCATCTACATAACTTAATACCAAGTTATGTGAAAAGAAGAACTTGCAAGCCAACCAACCACCTTGCTAAAAAAAAAAAAAGAACTGGATTCCTTAGGAGTAGGCAGAACAGAGTTTTAAAATATATTCTATTTGTCCCATTTTAGAAAGTCATTGAGGGAGAAATAATTTGCTTGTCCTAATGAACAGCATTTTTAAAATCCATCTTTTGCTTCTGATTGACATTTTCACAGGTTTATGGAAACAAACCCAGCACAAACTCCTGTTATGGAGTTTACAAATTGTCAGATCCCTGCCAGAACACTGCCTTTCTGAAGGGGAGGGGGGTGCTTATTGGGGTTGGATGCTTTGAATGCTTTCCCTTTTGCTGTAACCACATGGGAATTAGGGAGGGGGACTGAGCCATCAGGATGGACTCCTTCCCAGCTGATTCCAGCCTGTTACCTAAGGTTGCAGCGTCCTGAGGAGGACCCACTATCACCATCCCACCTCGGAGTTTTCATAACACCTTTGCGGCGTCGTATTGGCTACTGGTGGACATGGGACACTGGGTGGGGGTTGAACAGGGGAAATTAACTTAAGGTTTCACTTAGGGATCTTCAGACTCTGCCTGACTTCTCTGCAATCACTTTTCTCAGTAAAAGTTCCTTTTGAAATACCAGTTGTTTCAAGAGACATACTTTCCTGAGAAGATAGCTGAGGCAGGTCCTTACACAAATACACATTCTTCAATTTGAAAGCAGAAACCCATTCTTAAAATCTTGTATCAGTTCTTCATCTGAAGCGACGTTTTGTTCCCAGATGCTTGTATCTTCTTCCAAGTAAGAATACTCAAATCCTTAGCACATGGATTGTGATGTCATAGACAACTATTGCTGATTCGATGCAATAATCTGCTAAAAAAACCCAGAGGGAGAACATGGTTGGCAGCATCGCGGGCAGTAGATCAAGCAAACATTCTACAATAAATGTTCTACGGGTATCTTATTGCAATTGTAGCTCTTATTATATTTTCTCTTGTCAGATTTAAATGTATAGTAAAACTAAACATTTCATCAAGTGAGATTCCTAGTGACTTCCTGGAGACATTGTTAAAATTTTCTTGGCAGCAGCACGGAAACATTCTGCCAATTTCTTCTTCAGGCTGTTTTTCAAGTTCTTAATTTAGCCCTAAAGCCTTTGACTTCCCAATTGACTTCCATTTAAGTTCTGATCAGATTGTCACCTTGCTTCAGTAATCAGCCCTGTTTGGTTAGGTGCTAAACTACTGCTATTTTAAATATGAAACCATTTTAATTTTTTCCTGAAAAAATATTAAGGTGCTTACGCTTTAAGTCATTCTTTAACAATCCTGATTCTTTTGCCCCTAGGTAGTAGAACATGATAAAATACCATATCAAAGAAGAGATACATGGTGGAGAGAATCACTAAAGGTGTGTAATATATCTATTTATTCTTGTGTTCTTAATTTACAAGCATAAAGATTATTTACTTACCAAATTTGTATAGCTACCAAAATATTGCATGGTACTGAATTACGTTCCAATTTGGAAACTAGTGCAATTAAGACAAGTGAAATTATTTAATAGGTTTGCATTCTCATTCTTGAATAGAGTAGAAATTAGGGATATCGTGTGATATTTTAGAACAGCCTTCCCCAACCTGACATCCTACAATTTCCAAAACTAGTTAGTTTGGAATTTTGATAGGTAAAGGTAAAGGTTCCCCTCGCACATATGTGGAGTTGTTTCCGGCTCTAGGAGGCGGTGCTCATCTCCGTTACAAAGCCGAAGAGCCAGCGCTGTCCAAAGACTTCTCCGTGGTCATGTGGCTGGTATGACTAAATGCCAAAGGTGCATGGAACGCTGTTACCTTCCCACCAAAGTGGTCCCTATTTTTCTACTTGCATTTTTTACATTCTTTTGAACTGCTAGATTGGCAGAAGCTGGAACAAGTAACGGGAGCTCCCTCACAATTTTGATAATTGTAGCCTTATATATATATGGAAGGCATGAGATTAAGACAAGTCAATTGAGAATTATTCTTAGCCTATTGAAAATGCTATTATACTCATAAAAGCTATTGCAGTCATATTCCCAGAAATATCTACCGTGTTTCTCACAAAATAAGGCCGGGCCTTATTTTTTTTTTAGCCCCGAAAAAATGGCTAGGATGTCTTTTTGGGGGTGAATTAATTCCCTCCCCCCCCCCAGTGCACCAGAGCTGTCTCCAACAACAGCGTCTGAGTCGCCCCCGCCTTTCCCCCATCCTCGTAACAACAGGAAAAAAAAGATTTTGAGGTACCTGGGAGTGCCGTGCGCTGTGTTTTGGTTTAATCCTGAGTGGCTGGGTGGGCGTGAGAAGAGCCGAGCGAGAGTCTCTGCTGCTGCTACTCTTGGTGCTCCAGCTTCAGGCTCTGCAAGTTGGCCAAATTCCCAGTGTGCAGCCCGTTCCTGCATTCCAAGTGCCCAGGCCGAGCTGCAGCTGTCCCTCTCTCACCAGCGCCGTCTCCAATAACAGTGGCAGCAGTGGCAGGAACCGTGGAAGTTATGGGGGTGGCTCCCCCACCTGAGAAGTGGCTAAAACGCTTCCACGGTTCCCTCCGCTGCTGCCGCTGTTGTTGGAGATGGCGCTGGCGAGAGAGGGACAGCTGCAGCTCAGCCTGGGTGCTTGGAATGCAGGAATGGGCTGTGCACTGGGACTTTTGCAAACTTGCAGAGCCTGAGGCTGGAGCACCAAGGGTAGCAGCAGCAGAGAGACTCACTCGGCTCTTCTCACGCCCACCCAGCCACTCGGGATTAAACCAAAGCACAGCGCATGGCACTCCCAGGTACCTCAAAATCATTTTTTTCCTGTTGTTACGGGGACAGGGGAAAAGTGGGAGCGACTCAGATGTTGTTGGAGAAGGCGCTGGCGAGAGAGGCGCTAACACCGGTGGGAACCGTGGAAGCTACAGAGGCCTGAGAAGCATCTGAAACGCTGCTGACATCCACGCCGATGCCGCCTGCCTGCTGACCCAGGTAAGGGAGGGGTAAGGGAGCCCTCCATGCTCCACCATGGTGTTAGGAGCGGCTGATTGTGAGGCGTAGCTGCCCGCGGGGCACTCCTAATGGCAAGTTCCCCCCCGCCTTCCCCCCCCCCCCATTTTGCATGTTTTAAACTAGGCCTAAATTTGGGAGGAGAGGCTTAATTTCATTTTATACCTAGAAAACATGCCGGGTCTTCCTATGTGGGGGGGCTGTATTGTTGGAGAAACACGGTAGATCTGTGAGCATAGAATGTTGTACTAATTAGTCCTTGAGATGCACTAGTAGGGCTCCTCTTATAATCTATATACTTTTATGAATAATTGAAAATAAAGGACTGGCCTCTCTCCATCCCACCCTTTGCAGAACAGTTTTCACTGAGATGTCTACATTGACCAGGGATTGTTCAGTTTACAGCCTGTGGCCCAGCAATAAAAAAGAATTAATGAATGTTAGCGCAAAGCTTCCCCCAGTTTCTGTCTACAGTCTGAGCTACTTCCCTCAAGGTTTTTATTTTTTTTTATTTTTTGCCCTGGATAGACCTTTGCCATTCCTCCAATTTTACCTCTGTGAATCCTTTATTTTACATTATAAATCAACATTGATCTGCTAGCCTCTGTTCTGTTATTGTTGATTCCTTGTTGACCTGGGCAACGGTTGATCTGTTCTTTCTGAAAACAACTGAATAAAAATATTTTCCTTGTCTTCTAAGCCATATATTTGAATTGAGCCACAGATACTGTAGGATGCCTGAATTTTTAACATGAACATTTAGACACTGGACTCTTGAATTATTAAGGAAATTAAATGAAATAAGAAGTGCTGGGCTATCCAAATGAATTATTAGCCCATAAATAAAATATGTCCCCAACTAAACTGCCCTTCAGAAGATTTGCTATTACTTCTTTCAAGAGGACCATTACCTACACTGTAGGTTATGTTAATTTCCCTGGGGTATCAAGAATGGTCAGTCTAGCTCAGTGTTTCACAATCTCAGCAAGATGAGCTGAGGAATTTTGGGAGTTAAAATTCATATATCCTAAAGTTGCTGATCAACTTCAGCAAAAAAATAATGATACATCACGATCTGCTTGAAGACTCTGCTGAAATCCACGTTTATATTTTCAGATATGCAAAACATGTTATACATGCTTTGTTTCTTCCTACTAGCCAACCCCAATCCCAGGGTCTTATCCTGTACGAGATTTCCTTGAAGAAGCTCAGTTGAACCCAGTGAAAGCAACCTATAATTTTAAAAGTGAAGGGAGAAAGAGAGCGTCCATCTATGAGCAGCTACCTGATTTGACCTTGCCAAATACTTTCATGTACTATCCTCCTTCATTTGTGGAACTGGCAGAGAAAAGACCGGCTACTTATTCCTTTAAGAGTACTTCAAGGCAAAGCAACTATCCAGTCAGTGGAGATAAGGTAAAATGAAGTTAGGAATGGGACTCTGTAACAATAATTGCTGTTTTAAAAGAAAAGGCACTTAGCCAAAATGTGCCTTTTCAAGACCTACCATTAATATCCTGATCCTGTCTTATATCCAAATGGCAAATTCTTCCAGGTGGGTTTAATGGCCAACAAACAAGGAGCAGGGAATGGAAAACTAAAGAGAGTTAGAAATGGAATGGAGAATCTCAAAATAGGTTACCACCATCACCTTAAAATAAATAAATAACCATAATAGTCCAAACTAAAAATCTGGTGAGAATCTGATAAACAAATAATAATAATAATAATGTCCACTGAGGCATTACCTTGAGATGGTTGTGGGGCTTGTGTGCTCTAAGGAGAATGAGAGCTATGCCAGAAGTTCAACCATAGTCTTCTCATCAGAAGGCCAGACAAAGATTGTCTTTTCCATAAAAAATATGATGAGACATAATCTACAGAAACCGATAGCAGCTCAGTCATTGATCAAGAAATGAGAAGGAACCAGAAAAAACAAAACAAAAGCTACTGGATCAACGTCTATTTATAATACAAACTGAGGTACTAACAGAAGTAGAATTGGAAGAACTACAAAGGTCTATCCAGGGCAGAGAAATCAAAGCCTTGTCAGAAGTAGCTAAATGGTAAAGGGAAACCAGGCAAAGTTGGCTGTAAGAGGGGCCAACATAGCTATTGAATTGTTTTCACTCCCAAACCAGGTACCCTCTCATCTTCCAAGATCTTCTAACTAAAAGGCAAGAGGAACTGGAACAAAGAATAATTGAGTGTCTTGAATAGCACACACACAACCAAATAAGGCTGTCCACCTTGAAATTCATTACAAAGAAGCAGCTAGCACAAATTTTAAATGATGCCAATACTGTAATATGAGCCAACTACTCACTACAAGAACCAAATCAACTATTATATAATATAGCTGCAGTTGCAACTGACAATTTGGGCTGCAAAATCAACAAACAAGAAAAAAAAAAGGCAAACGGTGCACCACAAAAATGGAAGATCAGGCTGGAAAATAAGATCAGTATGCTAAGATCAGATGCAAGCAAGCTAGAACAGATGAAAGAAAGAATCAGAAGATGCATCTTTCAAGGAAACTCACTCTCATCACTACTGCTTATCATGGCACTGATTTCTCCGTCAATGATACTGAATAAATCAGGCTACAAACATGAAAAATATCTGCCAGGCTGTACTACCTCATTTACATGGATGATCTGAAGCTGTGTGGAAAAACACCATCTGAAATAGAATTGCTGCTCATCAACATATATACTGCCAAATTATTGCAATGGAATTCTGATGAGGCAGCTGTGCCACCCTCACTATCAACAGAGGAAAATAGTGAAAACTGAAGGAATCAAGATGCCCTATGGAAATAATATCAAGAGTTTGGATGAAGATAATCACTACAAATACCTGGGCATCTTTCAAGCTGACAAGCATACTGAAGTCAAAAAGAAGATTAGAAGTGAATACATTATGAGAGGGAATAAGATCTTAAAATCCAAACTCAGTGAAGGAAATACCATCAAGGCAATTGACTCCTGAACAATTCCAGGCATTAAATACACAGCTGGAATACTGGATTGGACTCAAGCAAAACTGAAAGCCCTGGACAGGGAGAACAGAAATATAACGACAATGAATCATGTCCTTCATCCATGCAGTGATGCTGACAAACTCTATTTATCAAGAAAAAGAAGGTTATTGTGGAATGTTGCAAGTACAACAGACAGTTGAAGGGGAAAAAAAAGTGCATTGGAAGAACATTTGAAGGGCAGTGAAGAAAATAGTATGCCATGAAGGCTTACTGAATACTGGAGAGACAGAACTGGCCGATCAGAAAGACCAAATCAAAAACAGAAAAGAGGCGTACAAAGCATTACATGAGCAATACATGAAAACTAGCAGGCAGAGCAGGTAACAGCAAGACCTGAAACTGACTCAGAGCAGAAAAGTTCAGAAAAGGACAGAAAGTCTAATTCTGGTTGCAAAGACCAGGTCTTATGAACAAATGCCCACAAAGTCACATTTGAGAAGACAGCAACAGACAGCAAATGCATCCCTGCAAAGAAGCTGAAGAAATAATGGATCGCTTCATTAGCTGCTGCAAGAAGATCCTACAGACGGACTATAAATAATGACCTGAGAAAGCAACAACTATGGAGCATTGGAATATCTGCAAGGAATACAATTTGCTTCAAGCAGGAACTGGTGGGACCACAAAATAGGCAACGTAATAGAAAATAAAGAAGCAAAATTGCTCTGGGACTTTAGAATTCAATTAAACAATTATAGGAATTCTAGTAAAATCAGTGAAACATAAAAGATAAAAAGAGACAAGGGTGGAGAAAGAAGTTTCTTCCTCTCTCTCACCAAAGGTCTGGTTGAAGAACCAGATCCCATTGGCTCTTCTAAACCAGGGGTCTCCAACCTTGGCAACTTTAAGACTTGTGGACTTCAACTTAAAGTTGCCAAGGTTGGAGACCCCTGTTGTAAACAATGGCAGAATGAGGACCATCTGGATCTGGAGTGGTGGGGGACCCTAGTTTCAGAGGGTAAGCACTACTACTGGGAAGATATGCTTCAGGGGTCATGATAGATTATTTTGTTTAATTGAAGGAGTCCAGAGCATCCCAGCCCTGTAGGAATGACTTGACAGATGCTATGGGAGACAGACCCTGGGCTGTATATGGCTTTGTAGGAAAAGATCATCCCCTTGAATCACACCTGGAAGCAAAGTAACAACCCATGCAGTTTATCAAATACCTAATAAGATTCCACATAGCAAGTTTGTTCTTTCCTAGTCAACACTTGAAGAATCAAAGTAATGAAGAATGTCGCGGCATCTTATCATTTCAAGACATCAAAAAAAAAAGAAATGTAAAATATCCAGATGGTAGGATGAATTGTAGCATCTCTGATTGCATATGGTGAATACAACTTCACTGTCCTCAGCAGGGTAGTAACTAAAAGTAAGTAAACATTACCTAAAGATGTGTAAGTAAAACCTATTTGCAAATAGAAAATTAAGACCTTAGAGGAGGGGAAAATCTATCCTTAGGGCGGCTTCTTAGTTTTCTATTTGCAAAGGTGTTTAAAGATAAAGGGAAAAGGGACTTCACATCTGCAACCGAGTACAACAGTCCATTAGTTTATTTCATCCATGCCAAGACAAGGAAGGACACGGCAAACTTGATCTCTTGGAAAAGTTGATCAATAAATTAGGCTTCAAAACAAAGCCTAGATTCTTACATTTGTACACTGTATTTTTGATTCCCCACAGAATATAAACACTGATCCTGGACAGTATGATCTTTTCCCTCGTCCAGTCCCTACTTTTCCTACTAAGTAAGTATACTTTGTAATCTCGTTTTCTTTTGAAACAGATTATTTTGGCGTGTAAAATCTTAATATTTCTTGAATTTGGCTGCATTTCCAAGCAGTAGCATAGCCCTTGCCTGAAGCCAGAGCATTGTGGCCAGAGGCCAAAATAGATTCTTGCTCATTTTCCATTAAAAATTAGATTTTTTCAAGATCCTTTCTTACTGGGGAAATGCCTTCCATTTTCTCTGAGGTTGATGAAAAAATGTCAGCAGGAGGTGAAGATCTTAAAGAAGTGACAAGACGAAAAAGAAGTAGTCAAAGCAACTATTCATCTTGCCAGGCTGGTTAGTTACAGGGCAAGTTCATATTTTTGAGACTGTAATTCTCATAAATCCATCCAGAGAGGCTTAGTGGTTGAATTATGGAAAGTGTTATCCAAACATCTTACACACAATTGGTTGTTTATCCTTGTCTTACTCTGTTCACCTTACTGTGATTAGTTGGACAAACACACTGCATCGGTATAGAAATAGTTAGGGAAAATACAGATGTTCAAGGACATGTTTGAAATAGAAGTGGATTGTAGACTCACTGGAACAGGCATCTCCAACCTTGGCAACTTTTTTTTTTTAACAAATTTTATTCAGTTTTTCACATTAAAAACAAAAATCTCTTTTTAGTGGACAACATATTTCCGGGTCATCGCCTTTACATACAAATATGACAGCAATTATACATTCATATATGCATACTTAATTCTATTATTACCTTTTCCTTTCCAAATTTTCAGTAAGGAGAGAAACAAACACATTAATTCTAGCCTCTTTCATTAATCTCAATCGAAACATCTTTTTGTTTCATTTCAATTATTTCAAATATAATATTTATTTTAAAAATAAAGATAAACAATATGTGTTTGAATAATAATAATAATAATAATAATAATAATAAAGTTACCAATGTCTCTCTTTGCTTTTAATAGTCTATATTAACTTATTAATTTAGTTGGTTCTTTAGTCTGTCATATTCCCTTTCCATTACACATTCTTTTTATAAATTGTAGATTAATACAAATTTTAACACTAAAATAAATAAATAAATAAAGGTTCCCCCCCTTTTACTGTTTTGAGTGTGACACCTCAATGATTAAAATACACCTTTATTCCCTCATCTTGATTCCCAATAAACCATTATTTTTAAGAAGTTACAATAATAATCATTACATCTTTTCATTGGGATTCCGCAGCATATTTCCCCCCCTTGATTTTTAATAAGAGTTATCAGTATCTATATTACCCTATTTTCTAAATATTTTTAATTGCAGAAATATTCTTATTACCCCTTGTCATCCTGCAGAATCACCTTTTTAATTCATCAACCATTATCTGTGAAAAAACAATTTCTTTTCAACATTTTACTATTTCCGTATTTCTTTATTTCATGCACCTGTTTCTTACTGCTTCTCTTCCCCCTCTTTTCCCCATATCTTTTCTCATTCCAGTTTACATCCCTCTCTTTTGTAATATCTTCCTTTCCCCTTTTCTGCTGGGTCTTTCTGCCTTTCCTGACTTCACAGGTATTCCCCCTCCAATGTGGCAACTTTAAGACTTGTGGATTTCACGTCCCAGAATTCCTCAGCAAAGCTGGCTGAGGAATTCTGGGAGTTGAAGTCCACAAATCTTAAAGTTGCTAAGGTTGGAGACCCCTGCACTAGAAGGAGGAAAGGTTGGTCCTAGAATAATCAGTGACACTCCTGCTGCAATGCTGTGCATTGGATTTCCAACTCTTTTGGCATATTATCAGGGCCAGGCTCTTTTGTGGATGAAAGATCAAGGAATGAAATGTAATGCATGTGTTTTTAAAAATAATGGCATGCACATATGTCAATTGTATATAATTTTATGAAATTATACTGTATCTATGTAGCTTGTAAGAATCAGTTAAACTTAATTTCTGGGACTGTAGGTTTGAATCTTCCTTCGAGTCTCAGTGTTAGGAAGGTCTTAGTCATTTCTTCCCTCCATTTGACTTCAGTTGGATGGTGAGAAAAGAACTATAACGCAATAGCCTTGAAATACGCTGGTATGATGATATTAAAGTAACTTTAATTTTACTTTTGAGTAACCACTTTTGAGTGGTTCCTAGCAGTGGGTCCTTCAAAATAAAACCAATGAATAAAAGCTAGTAATTAAAACAAGTAGAATACTATTAAAACAACTAGAAATAAAACAATAAATACACATTAAATCAATTCAGTTTAAAAGCCATTCAGGTCTCCTGAACAAAATGTTTCACAGAAGACACTTGCATATAAACATAGACACAATCCATATCTTACATAATTGCCCCTGCCCAAGTTTAGCAGCAGAAGATGTTTTGAACATGGATCTTAAGTTGGCTCAAGACTCAAACGTTTACAATATAGCAGCTCTCGCCTTTAGCCTTTTGGGAGATGACTATTAAGAGGGCAAAGCAGACCTTCCAGAAAAAAGATTTTGAAGAAGACTGAATTGAGAGTGAGGTTGGTACAGGCCATTCAATGGTTTTTTTTGCATATCCTGGATGGTACGCAGAGGCATAGGAGTCTATGCTCTGTACACTGAAAAAGAAGAAGCTTTGCATTCATTGAGATGTAGATAAAATTAAAGTCCCCAATTTTTACTAAAACCACTGTTGTTTCAAAAGAACCGAAATGCTAAAATAATTTTATTTTCTTTCCTTATTCAATGCAGGAGTTATATGTTTCGATCTGCAGTTCAAAGACATCCCATTTTTCCTCTGGTAAGGTCTATTGATTAATAACTATAAAATGTTGGGGTTTCATGCAAAGAAGAGAAAAATCCACTCTTAAATATTTCTTTTCTTCAAAGTAAACCATTAATACTTTCCCTTCACAGCTCTTCAACTTTAACATTTAGCTTTTTGGGGAATAATTAGATTTTTTCAGGACTAGCCCCATAGCTGTAAACTTTGCAACCACTCTTGTAGTGCCATTTCAAGTTTTGTAACCCACCTCACAATCCAATGGATCCAAGTTTAATCACAATACCCACTGAGGGATGGTGTTATAAAAGTGTAAATAGAGGCCAGAAATCCTTTTTTTCCCCTAAACAAAAACCTTTTCTTTGAAACATGTCAGGAAAATGTATATCTCTCTTTAAGAACTCACTTTCCCCCAAAAAATAGTATATTGGAGAATTGACCTGCATGACAATTGCATCTGCTTCAGATATCTCCTCTTTCTCTTCTTGCTCCATCCTTTTCTCTTCCTTTCTTTTTTAGCCAGTCTAGTCACAAAGGACTGAATCCAACAATTTTATCCCACTTAGGGACTCCCCTGGAAAACTGTTCACCCAAAGTGACAGGAAACTATTCTATACCTTTTATGCATAGAAACTGGAAGAGCAGCATATTGCTAAAAAGAAGAATGGAAAATTACAAAGAGGCTTATAGAAAGAATGAATATCATACAGTGGCCGTGTTAGCATGACATGGCTAACCCAGTTGCCCCCCTGACATATTTCTACCTGCCAGTAGCATGTCATCCAGGTAGTCAGTTTCAACCATTTACAGGGGGTGGGTGGGTCCAAAAAGCTAAGAGGATAGCCATAACCATGCAATTGATGCCCTACCCTTATTTTTACATAAGTCAAAACATCAAGATCACTTGGAAAATAAGCGGTGGAATATTATAATTGCTACACTTGCCCAGTAGAATTCTAGTTTCTTAAGAAACAAGATAAAACAAGCACTATGTTGGGGCTGTAGAATTGTTGACAACTATTAGATGGCAGGAAACCTGGTTTGGTGGGTTGTTTTTTTGTGTGTGTTTCTTAGCTGCCATCTAATAATCATCTGGATTTTTACAGTCCATATATGCTAAACTGATAGAAGAGAATATTTATAGTTCAGGATTGACCTGTGGAGACCTTGGTGCTGTCTCAGCTTGCTTGTTTTCTTGCAGATTTTCCTCATCAAACTAGGTAATCATCATCAGTGCTAAATATATGCTAAAGTTATACTGAAACCATTAAAACCATAAGCATTCTTACAATGTACCATCACCACTAGTTACTAGTCAGATTGGTGGTACTATGTTTATGCAAATCCTGGCCAATCCAAAAGTTTTATTCTTCAAGATAACAATACATAACTATTATGTTTATAAGAAGTTATAAAGCCAGGGTATTCACCTTCCCTGGTAAGTCACTAGTCTTACTGCACTTCCAACTGGAGCTCTTGACATCTGTGTAATATCATCCTAATCCTTGTGTTGGACAGCCAATGTTTCCATGGATCAGTCACCATAGTACAAAAGCACATATTGCCAACTGAGTAATACGGGTTCTTGAGTAAGAGAATCCATTTAGGAAACTCCAGCCTTCCTGAGAATGTGAACATTTTCATTATAAGGTATCTAGGATCATGTCTTTCATACTTGACAGATGTGTTGATTGCAATTGTCCAAATATGGATTGGAGGAACAAGCAGGCTGACATTATTGATGCATCTGTTCCCCAGTTAATAATACCTAGATTCAGAAGTCAAAGCAATGAGGAAGTAGGGAGAACTTGTCATCAATATTAAGTAAGTGTATTAGATGGAAAGCCTATGAGTCACCCCACCATAATCTTGATAAATGACTCGATCCTGAAGGAACAGATAGGAGCATAGGCCTTATGAAATTCTTCAAAAGACTAATCAGTCATATTCTTGAAAAGCTGTCACTTTAGCAGAGTCAGAATCACACAGAAGACCTTGAACTATATAGCTGTTGTGCCTAAATGAGACTCGCGAGCTCTCTTCCCAGTATTTATGATAGGAAGAAAAATTTGCTTGATGGCATTTTTCCTTTTGTAATCAGATCAAAGTTCACTTCAGTTTCCAAATTGTGTTAATCGAATGTAGAAAGATGCCCTTTTGGGGGGGTTTGTTCATACTTTTTTTGAGTATCATATTCTAATATTTAAAAACATCTGAAAATAATACACTGTATGTGCTTAGAAATTTTTTAAAAACTATAACAATGGAAGCATATAGAAAATGATTACATTTAATAGAAAACCCATATTAGAAAAGTGGAGGTAAAAAGCAAGTATTCATATGTAACAGCATTCCAGAGGCCAAGGAACAACTTATTCTAGAGTAATCCCAAAATGCCAATCATCTTTGAAAAGCAGCATAGCTAGCAAGATCTCTAAAAATCTCAGAGAAAAAGTGGATCTGCCTGGATCCTGAACTGTCAATAGCCATTTGGCAACTGGAGTAATTATGTCAACTCTGATGAGATGTATGTATGGCTAAGCACGCCACTTAACATTCTACATCATCTGTAGCTTCCGGCCTAGTAAGAGGAAACACACACAAGAATAGTTTCAGAAAAAGAGCTGTGGTAGTGCAATGATTAGAATGCAGACCTATTCTTGCAGACCAATTCTGCCAACTGTTTGATCCTGACCGGCTCAAGGTTGATTCAATCTTCCATCCTTCCGAGGTCGGTAAAATGAGGTCCCAGATTGTTGTGGGCAATATGCTGATTGACTCTGTAAACTGCATAGAGAGGGCTGTAAAAGCACTGTGAATTGGTATATAAGTCTAAGTGTTATTGTTATTGCTAAAAAGAATATCATAGAAACCTGAGTATAGTGGTTAAGCTGTCCTACCTAGAAAAGGGGCAACTGTACCCCAACAGAGTTTATATAATATGTTCCTTGTTGGTGTATGAATTAGAAAAAGAGATATAAAAAAACAACAGAAAAATCAGCAGTAGCAATGATATTATAGAGAAGGAAATAATCAGGAGCAGCAGTTATAATGGTAGTAGATGGAATTTAATTCATTATAATAAAGTAGCAATATAATTGAAATTCCAAAAACATTGAAACGAGCAGAAAAAAACTTCAATTGATCTGTAATTGGAAAACTTGGGCAATTTCTGTTACAAGAGTAGGAATGATAAGAAATAGGTTCTTTTTCAATGGGAAAAAAAGCTTTTGCTTCCCAGACCAAAATTTATTTGTAGAATTTGCTGCTTTCAAGTAGCATGCTGACTGTGGTTCTCTGACTTGAAAAGTAGAATGAGAAAGGTATTATACATAGGTGTTGCCAACAACTCTGAATCAAGGTGTATCTTGAGGCTTATATAGTAGTTCTGTGATGAACAAGCTCAGCCATCTACGATTCCCAGGGTTCTCCATATGTTGGGATAGAGGGGCATTGAATCAAAAGTACTTGCTCTGTATCTAGTTGACTTTTTCTGCTCCAAAATACTGTGGAGTATCTGTAAAACAACACTATTGGTAGTCATGATGTATGGCCATGATTGAGTAACAGGAGCCTGGACTAGATTGTCCATTGATTTAATGCATTGTGACTTTTTAATGATTGTCAAATCAATAAGAGTGTATTTAGGCAAGAGGTTTATAAAAACACATACTGTAAGTATTGGGTTATGGTGCCTAGCAAGAATGTTATCTCCGTCATTCTGAGGTAGTTTTCTAATTAAATGTGTCTGTCTTTTCCCTCTATTACAAAGCAGTGTTGTATTTTCCCACTTCATATTTATCTGTGAAAATGTGTTATCAAGTGAAAGGCGTTGTACCCCAAAGGATTGGTGGGGGAATGAATGTGACAGTTCCATTGCTCCTAACACATGTTCATGCACAGAAATGACAGTTTATGACAGTGATTCCCACATGCCTTTTACAGCTGAGCAGAAAAAAGGCATATTTTGCTGAAATTAGCCATCAAAAAAATCTGAACCATGGAAAGGAAGATAGCTAAGCTATTGAGAAGGAATCCAGGCAAGCTTTTGGAAAGCAATAAATGATTTTCTTTGGGTGGAAATGTCAGATTATACTGTTTTCTTCCTCTATATTATTAATTTTGTCTCCAGCTGGTCCATGATTAATAGTATTATGCTTTCATGCCACCATTCTGCAAGGGTGCATTTATTATCTAAGGTGAGGGTCTTCAAACATGGCAAGTTTAAGACTTGTGGACTTCAACTCCCAGAATTCCCGAGCTAACATGACTGGAGGAGGAATTCTGGGAGTTGAGGTCCAAAAGTCTTAAAGCTGTCAAGTTTGAAAACCCTGACCTAAGGTATGCTTTTTTTGAAGTCACTTGTGACTTTCTGAGTTTTTCCCCAATATGTATCTGAAATGATGGTAGTGGAAGGAGAGCTTGCAGCTTTTATATGCCAACAGGAATTGCTTCATGTTGAGGTTCTAGGGAGTGATCAATAACTTAAAAACAGGATTTCAAAGTTTCATGGTGCCCTCCGGTGCAATCCTTGTCTTCTTTTAACTCTGGAAGTTTGTTTGCTTTTTATACCACATGTATTCATACATTTCAGAAGAAGAAAGGGAAAGTTGTCAGGGGCAAAGGCAATAAGGTGTCCCTTCAAGTATTTGCTCACCATTATCCTTGGTTTAAAAAGGAATGATGGTAGCTGTGATTAAACCCTATCAATTTTATCATAATCACATGTATGACATATGCTAAAAAGGAATATACAATATGTAGTCCATGGTTGTAAGTAGTACCTTAAAGCTATGGTACATTTTCTCCCTTGTCATCAATGATGTTGACTTGCATATTGTATGGATGGATACATAGGTTTATTTTTATTACCTATAGTTGCAATTTTAATTAACTTTAGTTGCTATTACACTAAACAAACCCATTTTAGCTTTTGTTCTTCCTCTGCCTCTTCTTTGTTCTTGGGCCTGGTCACCTGCCAGCACACATGTAAAACCAACTGGTATGTGCCATATAAA